TAGAATGTAACTAACATTATAATTCTTAGCTAGTAGATTAATAAACATTATAATTCTATCAGTAGATTGAACAACATTATAATTCTAGCAGTAGATAAACAACATTATAATTCTACCAGTACATAAACAACATTATAATTCTACCAGTACATAAACAACATTATAATTCTACCAGTAGATAAACAACATTATAGTTCTACCAGTACATAAACAACGTTATAATTATACCAGTAGATGAACAACATTATAATTCTACCAGTAGATAAACAACATTATAATTCTACCAGTAGATAAACAACATTATAATTCTACCAGTACATAAACAACATTATAATTCTACCAGTAGATAAACAACATTATATTCTACCAGTACATAAACAACATTATAATTCTACCAGTAGATAAACAACATTATAATTCTACCAGTAGATAAACAACATTATAATTCTACCAGTACATAAACAACATTATAATTCTACCAGTAGATAAACAACATTATAATTCTACCAGTAGGTGAACAACATTATAATTCTACCAGTAGATAAATACAACAGAACTCCTATTCTAACAAGACTGATTACGATGAGAAACTACAACAAGTTTTGGTGATAGAAAGTTTAATATACTAAACTACAAAACAACAGGAAAGATGATGTTACCCACTTTAAAACTCCTGTAGAAGTTAAAACTAAAACACTTTAACTCTCAGTTGCTTTGTGGTTGCAGACCTCCACAGTTCTATGGATTTCCTAAGGTATATCAGATAGATATTTTCTTCAGACTAGTTTTTAGTTCTGCCTCTGTCATGAACTAGTTGGCTTTCTGTTACCGATCTCGTTAGGACAGATATCCTCCTCGGACCAGTTTTTAGTTTCCCCTGTCATGAACTAATTGGCTTCCTGTTACCAATCTCTTTAAGACAGATACCTTCACCAGACCAGTATTCAGTTACACCTCTGTCACGAACTAGCTGGCTTCCTGTTACCGATATTTTTAAAAGAGATATCCTCCTTAGAACAGTTTTTAGTTTCCCCTTCCATGAACTAGCCAACTTCCTGTTAGCGATATCTTTAAAAAGGATATCCTCCTCAGATCAGTTTTTAGTTTCCCCTTTCATGAACTAGCTGGCTTTCTGTTACAGATCTGTTTAAGACAGGTATCCTCCTCGGACCAATTTTTAGTTCCCCCCTGTAGCTTTCTTCTTTTACTAGTTTCATTGCGAACCAACAGCTATGAAGTTTCCAGGGGTGGGGCGAATACTGGAGATCAGTAGTCGAATGCATTTTTATGTATTTTTATGAATACGAATACGAAAACGAATACAGGAAAAATGCTAAGTAATCGAATACAAATATATAGGAATGTATTCATATTATTCATATTCATTTTATCATACTTTCCAAAACTTTTCCCACAACTGTTGTAAGACTAATAGGCCTATAATTACTGGGACAATTTTTATTACCTCCCTTGAAAAGAGGAGTGATATCAGCGAACTTCCAATCATTTGGCACCTACCCACTATTCAAGGACTTATGAAAAATAGTAGCAAGAGGCTCACATATCCAATTCTTAACCTCCTTCAAAACCCGTGGGAAACAATTATCTGGCCCAGGAGCTTTATCATTCTTAAAACTTGCCAATTTTGTCTTAACAAGGTCAGAATTAATGTAATCATCTTGTTTTATCTTTCTTTCATCTATCAACTGTTCAAGTGATGACAAAGGACAAGAGATTATTCCATTCTCGTGCCCTGTTGTTTTTTACTTATAAAAATAAATCATCACTGTTTTTGAATGTATACAGATAAAGAACAATGACATTTATTTGCTTGACCATGGATAATTTGTGTGTATTGTCATTTCTTTCATATTTTTTCAGTTCCTTTGTTAATGTGGATATTGTTCTGTATTACCATGTGAGGTTAAACACAATGTTATATTTTAGTAATAAACGTACTATGTTGTGGTATCGATCTCTTTGGGCTCGATGCTTTTTGTCTTCACGTGAAAGGGAGCAGGCATATGGCTGTCCAGCTTTTATGTGTGTTGTGGTGATAGGCTGCATTGTGATGAACCAGAATAAAAAGTAAGAGCAGGGAATGTGAGTGAAGAGGGACAGTTGATCTCTGACAAGCCTCTCCCTC